CAGGCTAAACTTTGATGGGAGTAGTGCTGGCAACCCAGGTGGCCAGGTTCTTCAGGCATTGATGGTATTTTCAGGAATGAGGAGGGCAATATTATWGGTCTATTTTCAGGGCCAAGAGGTGTAGGGGATTTGTTGGGGGCCGAGGCTTTAGCTATGATGGAAGGTGTGYAAAGAGCAAAGGATATGCACATTAGTAAGTTGGTTATAGGAGATTCAAAGTTGGTGGTGGGTTGACTACAAAAGGAAGAAGGCGGGTTGTTGAAATATAACAGTGAAAAAAAGAAACTTAAATGGTTGACACGAGTCATGGGTGTGAGAGTTAATTGGGTTAAAAGAACTGCTATCCTCAGAAGTTCTAATCTTGGTAATATCATTGTAACTATGAGGTTTGAATAAAAGAGGTGGGAGGGGGAACCCCATCTTTTCCGGCACTATATTGGGGGCTTGGTTCATTTACGAAAGATAAATTAGAAATCTCAGATGGTACTAATCTCCTGTGGAAGTGTAGTTTATGCTTAGCATCTCTCATGAGCAGCCATAGTAGAATCTTACGTATTTGCACTATGATCTATGTATTAAGTTGGTTTGTGTATTTTTTGTTGTCAGAGGGTTTTCTTTAATGTAGTCTGTTTTGTTTACCTGCCCTTCTGCTGAACTTTTTGGTTGTTTCTAATACTAATGAACCATGGTTTACTCTGCTGAACTGAAATCTACATAAGCCTACTGTGCACATCGTATGTATGAAATTCCTCTCATAGAATTCTCTGTTTGCATTGTTGCCCTGTTATAACAATGTTTTGCATGCTTATGTAGACTCCCCAAACTCCAATTGTACGAACAAGTGCATATACAAAGTATAGCATTGATGAATTCCCCACTGGAACTAATGCTATTGTTGCAGTTTTAGCATATTCTGGGTAAGTATTTAAGTTTTTGTCTTTGTTCATTTTGGAGTATTCATCTGCTCTAATTTAATTATATTTGCCAGATATGATATGGAGGATGCCATGATCTTGAATAAGTCTTCTGTAGAGCGTGGCCTTTGTCATGGCTACATATATCAGGTTTGTGTTTGTTATTATGCATGCCATCACTATAACAAGCTCAACATTTTTTATGTATATTTTCCTCTCATTTTATATTGATAAATTTTATATTTCAAGAATATTATTCTAAAAGACAAATTGTTAGAAAATTCTTTTCAGTTCTTCTGTTCAAACTAAATTTATAAACCAGGCGTGACCTAACCATGACATGAGCCTCTCTTTCCTCTTATGTCATCCACACAATCGGATGATGTCCAGACAGTCTGGGCTTTTGAAGAAACAATTCTTAGGTTTTAATCCAGCATGATTTTAAAAGAGCTAAATGATGGACTAAATGTGGTTTGCATCTATTTTTTCCAGCCTTTTTCTGTGTAGTTACAGAAAAGTCAAAATATCTAATTTTTGTGATGTCTGAATTGAATGGAAAGTTTCAACTGTCCTTTCTGAATCTAGGAATTTGGTCTCACTTGATTTTTTGAGGGACTGATGTGGAGAAATGTACCTAGGAATATGATTGTTTTTGTTGATTGACCTACTTTACTGAAATTTGAATGACACATTGGTCTTTATGAAATAAATAATGTAATAATGCCATTTCCAGCAATTAGTTGAATGCGGTACTTTTTCTTTTTAGCTTCCATTTTGATTTTTCTCCTTTGATTTGTTGGTGCATTTGTACTTGCATACTGGCTTGCTTGGAGATGTAAATCAGTCCTCAAATATCAAGAACAAATTTAGGGATTAGAAGAAGTAAAGAAAAGGTTTGAACAGCTATACAAGAGAAGAAGATGGCGAAAAGTRGAGGCAAGAGAAGGAGTCAAAAATTAATCTCCATTCTCCTCTAACCCTATTTTATTAAGATCTAAAAAAATAGATGATGACAAGAATGCCCTTAAGTGGACGGCCATCTTGGCAGTTACATAAAGAGAATAAAACAAGAATAAATAACAGGCCCATTAAGTGTGGCCCATCAACAATAAAATAAAAGATATTACAAGAGAGGATGTTAGGGCCCATTCGGTCCAGTCTCTTTACACTTGGTCTCTGTTATCTTTCCAAATTTAATCTTTTTCCATGCTAATGGTTGTTTTTATGCAGACAGAAACTATTGACTTGGCAGATCAAAGCGGCAAGTCAGATGAAGATCTGAAACTGTTTGCAAGAAGTAATGTGGACAAGTCTACACATTCTTTGATTGATTCAGATGGACTTCCATATGTTGGACAGGTTTGATTCTTTTCTCTTTGGCTCTTTTTTTTTCTTTGATTTTTTTTCGTTGATCCTTGATCTCATTCTATCTGCTTTCAGAAAGTTCATCCAGATGAACCATATTGTAGCATCTACAACACAGTTACAGGTACAACAAAAGCAACCAAACTAAAGGGTTCAGAACCCGTTATTGTAGACTATGTTGCTGTTGATGTGAGAAAGCCTAAGAAGCCTATGCAGAAGGTAATTAGACTCTTGTTTTCCAATATTTTAGGTGGCGTGTTAGGCTTCAGCCTTAGGATCATCATCAGAGGAAGTAGCTAGCAGCTAGGAAACTATTCTAAGATTTCTAGGTGTGCTTTTTAATTTATTCAAATATTCAAGGTTTTAAATAGCTGTTTGGAATTCCATATACGCTAAGAGTTTTAATTCATTCATATACAATATTTTTTGAGAAAAAGGTTATATACTGCATTGAACTATCTGAAAATCAAAACATGCAAAAAGCCCTGGTTAATAAAAGCACTGTGCATGGGCCAACAACCTTACTGAAATGGTTACAGGTGTGCACAAATTCATACATCCTTTTCTCAGCATGGTTCTGCACTTCTCGTTTTGATTCATAATTTTTGCTTCAAATGTTGAGATCTTTTAARGCATAGGAGAAAAAGCAGTATAGTTTGAAATGTAGCTGTCTAATCATTGCCTAGATAGTTGCATAGGCGATGAGGCATTTTTTGGGGTTGCACTGTGCCTTGCATTGGTGTTTCCATATGGGAGATGTAATGGTTACAGGTGTGCAACCAATTCATTCAAATTGAATACAAACGTATGCATCTGAAGCGGCATCATAAAAAAACATAAAAATAAAAACTAGTTTTCGACTTAGAGAGCCATAGAATATACTTTGCTTATTATTATATTTTTGAATAAGGTAAAGTATTTACTATATTACTTATGAGTTGTTGTACAAAGAAAAGGTTGTATATTCAAAAGCTTCACAAAAAAGAGATGTATAAGATACATACTTGTAGAGAGGATTAACATTCATCCAGGCCCATAAAATGGCAAGTATCTTGCATTTCATGGTGTGCACTATGAAACTCTTGTTGATTGCAGCTGGTAAAAGAGGACCACAATAATTTGCCTCTTTAGCTTGATCATACATATGCGAACACCTAATCTCATGGGCCAGCCAGCAATGTAAATTAGGGTATTTTCCTCCAGCTGGGAACATATTACACATGCAGTGAGATTTCTCCCTAGGGGCAGTCCATACCATAAGTGAGATTTTGCAGGAAAATTTTCATTGTTGTTAGCAATGATTTAAAAGGTGTTCCCCTCAGGGGTGCCTAGGTGCACAGGCAATGCACGTTTTAAGGTATGCACCTCGCCTAACCCGCAGGAACAGCACTTTCAAAAGGTGTGCTTGGTGCGGCTAGTTGTGTGCCTTGCTCTTCAGCCTAGTGACTGGTATCTTCTCTGGTTCACTCACTTCACTTGCTCACCAAAGCTCTGAAAACCCCATATTTGCTAATGTTTCTCATTCATTCATCTTAATAAAAGTAATTTTTAAAAGACAATTAAGAATTTAATTAGCACCTTGCCTCTAGGGACTTGGTACAAAGGTGGTTTGTAGAATTAGCATAATGTTTAACATCACATTAGTTATATGAACTATGAAGTAATGGAATTGGGAAAAAGAATAAAGAGATTGAGTGCTTTACATGCTTGAATATGTTTTATAAGCTATTGCTTGATTTTATTTTTAAATTTTCATTTTAATATGTTTTACAGGTTATGTTTATGTATCTTAAATTTTCAAATAGGTTTTGTGCGTTGCTTCGAAAAGGTGTATGCCTCGTGCCTTGGGGCGCAACATGCCCCTTGTGCTTTTAAAACACTGGTTGTTATCCAAACTTTGTTCCCAAGGTAGGTTAACCTAACATACCTAGTTAGATAAAGGAAGAGGTATGCAGCTGAAAACATCTCCCTAGACCCCATTCCCAGACTCTGGAGTCTTGGCCAGAACTACAGGGCTGTTGCTTGTAGAGAACTGCGAGTGTTCCTTCATCATTAGACATTCCCAGTCATTTAGTTGCTTCAAAGCAATCAGCAACAGAAGCATGCTTATTCCCATCTCCATCAGTAGCTTATCAGAGCATCATAGACCCCTCCAAAAACTAACTGGGTCTCCATTACCAGCCCTATAACGAATTTCTTTGATGAATTTGGTGTAATTTCTGCTAATCTTCCTCCACATGTTGTGTTCCATTCTCTCCAAATGCTGTCAGCTTCCACTGAGAACCTTCACAACCACTTACATAACAGGGCTCTTTTGGTAGGTCTCAATTTCCTTATCCTTACACTTATTCTTTTGTTCCTTTTTCTTTGCGGTAATGACAAGCATTCAATTTCCTTATCCCTACACTATGAATTATTTTCTTTTCTTTGCAATAAAGACATACATTCATTCCTTCTCTCTCACATTCAAACAACAAGGGTTGTGTCCCTGTTGTGATTCTTTTGCCATGTTAGATCAATTTTGTGTCACCCGAACTTGACTCACATCCATTCTATTATCTCTTACATTCAAATAACAAGGCATTCCACTGTCACCCAAACTAGACTTGGCACCATAGTAACCATGGTTAAAAATATCCTTGTAGTTGACACTAGGGAGTCGGCCTATGTTTTTGATGCCAGCATTGGTTGCTTAGTCCAATACTGAGTTAAAGGAATTGCCTCTCTTGCACAATGATTTTRCTTGGTCTAAACTGGATGGATTCTTGTTCACTACAGATTGGGGGAACATTGGGGATATTTGGTTTCCAGAGCTTTGCCTATATTAACTTCTGATCATTGGCCTATTTCCATTGCTAAAGAAGAGATGGGTAGCTGGGGCCCAGCCCTGTTCAGGTTCGAAAACATGTGGCTCTATCACCCGTGTTTTGTTGGGAAAGTAAAATAATGGTGAAATGGAAGTAGGGGTGAGCATTTGGTTTATTTGGTTCGTGAGCAATTTGGTTTATTTGGTTAAAAACCGAAATTTTAAAAACTGAACTAAAGAAAAAATCCGAACCAAAATTTTTGGTTTGGTTTTTGGTTATTTTGGTTAAAACCGAATTTTAATAAAATATACTTTATTATATATTATAACATATAATATATATTATATATTTCACTAGAAATTAAAGGAGTTAAAATCTAGAATCAAGGAGTGGAGTCTGTAGCATTTAAGGAAGCACTTAGAGGATCTATTGTTTAAGGAAGAAGTGAGCTGAAGGCAAAAATCCAAACATAAATGGTTGAATACAATGCTCTTTCATGCTTTGGCCAACGGGAGGAGGAGGAAAAACTTTTCTAAGCTTGTGATTGATGATGTAACTCGCACCCAGGAGTTTGAGATAGCCAGGACATGTATGGATCACTTTATAGCTATTTTTAGGAGGCCCCTAAATGGTATGGTTGGAGGGGTTGGACTGGCCATTGGCCAAAGGTTCCAAAAGATTTAAAAGTGTGGCTCGAAAGGAGGTTTGATCTGGAAGAGGTTAAGGAAGCATCATCTCTATGGATAGAACTAAAGCACTAGGACCAGATAGGTTTACAGTGGCTTTCTACCAAGACTGTTGGGGCATTTTAAAATAGGATCTATCGAAGGTTTATAATGAATTCTTTGAGAGGGGGTGATAAATCTGGGGCTTAACTCTACTTTTATAGCTTTGGTTCCAAATACGGAGGGTGCTAATCACTCTAAGGAGTTTAGACCAATAAGCTTGGTAAACAACCTGTACAAAATCATTGCTAAGGTGCTTTCGATGAGGTTGAGAATTTTGCTCCCTCACATCAGATAACTGATCAGATTTTAATTGCTAATGAGATTGTGGAGGACTTGAGAAGGAGTGGGAGGAAAGGATTTATGTGTAAGCTTGCTGCAGGTGATGGAGAACTTTGGATTTGGGACAAAGTGGTGCAAGTGGATACATGGTTATTTAGAGACTTGCCACTAATCTATTTTCATTAATCGTGTAGTGGTAGATCACTTCCCTGTAGTTAAAGGGAGTAGACAAGTGGACCCCCTTCCTTTCTTGTTCACCGTAATTGCCAAAGTTTTTGACAGATTGATAACAAGGGCAAACTCTAGAAACCTGATGAGAGGTTGGAAGGTGGGTAGAAATTGGGTTCCACTCACCCATTTGTACTCCCTTTCTTCTTCTTCTAAAGATGAGCCAGTGTCCAAATTTTTGGTTCCTTCAGACAAAAGGTTCTGGTTTTGACTGGGACTTGGTGTTTTAGAAGGGGTTTTAGGGTTTCTGAAGTCCATTCTATCTTGGTTCTTATTCACTTCTTGGGTGGGCTGTGTGCTTGAAAGACCAATTCTCCTCTTCCTATTCACATTCTTCTTGTAAAGATGAGTCAGTGTCCACTTTTTTGGTTCCTCCAGACTCATGTTTTGGTTTTGATTGGGACTTGAGTTTTAGAAGGGATTTTAGGGATTCTGAAGTCTATTCTGTCTCAGCTCTATTTCAGATCTTGGGGGGGGGGGATCTAGGTGAGAGGATAATAGGGTTTGGACTTTGACTTATTTTGGTGTGTTTACTTGTGCCTCTTTTTTCAAAGCTTTAGTGCAGCCTTTTGATTGCCTGGCGAACAATTTTCCGGTCCTCAAAGTTTGGGGCAAACCAATTCCTCCTAGGATTGGAGCCTTTTGTTGGGAAGCCTTTCTGGGAAGGTGTAACACTTGTGACTTGCTCCAAAGAAAAAGACCTAACTGGTGCTTATCTCCCAAATGGTGTATCATGTGTAAGGCTAATGGTGAAAGCTGCTACCACTTATTAATATCCCACCTGTTTGTTTCAAATATTTGGGTTTGGTTCCCCCCGCACACACACACACAGAGCCACTGGATGTACATGGCTTGTTTGCCTCTTCTTTCTTCGGACGTCCAAAGAAGAGGGGTAGAACTCTATGGAGATGTGTTAGGGCTGCTATTTTCTGGACAGTTTGGGAAGAAAGGAACTCAAGAATGTTTTCCGACAAGGAAAGGAGTAAGGAGGCCATTATTGAGGCAGTTTCTATTAGAGTGGTACAGTGGAATTGGAAGGATGTGGTTGATTCATCCCCTTGAAAGACCAAAATTACTCCCCAGCTCCTGGGTTCGTTAAACTGAACTTTGATGGCAGTAGTGGAGGGGTATGAAGAAGGCTAAGGAGTTGAACTGTTGCAAGCTTATTGCTGAAGGGGATTCAAAATTGGTTATTGGCTGGCTGCAAAAAGAAGATGGTAGATATTTTTTTCTTTCTTCATTGGAAATGCAGTTTCACTGGGAAATGCAGTTCCACTGGGAGACATTTCCATTATATGATGTTCAATGAACAAATTCCGTTTCTGTTTTATGAAGATTTTTTTCTTTCTTCATTGGAAAGAAAATTTGTGTAGCTTTCTTCCATATGCTATTCTCCTTATGGAAGATATTTTAATTTTCTTTTTTTTTTTTTCTAGAACCATGTATATTACAAGAGGATTGGTTGTGTACCTTTTAGTCTCTTATGGAATACATTTCTCTTTCACTTGGTTTATACAATTTTTGTTCTTATTTTATAGCTTAAAGCTACTCTAACTACACAGAACACCTTAACCATATTCATTGTATCAGGGTTTTGCTTAAAGCTACTCTACATTTCTCAAATGCTTTTGCTTTTTACACTTCATACCATTAGCATGTGGATTATTACTTCCTTTTATGCTTCCATAACCTTGACTTACGTTATTCTTGGTATTACTTTACACAGGTAAACATCCGTTTCAGGCGTCCTAGAAATCCAATCATTGGTGACAAGTTTAGCAGTAGACATGGGCAGAAGGGTGTTTGCTCTCAATTGTGGCCTGATATTGATATGCCATTCTCAGGAGTAACAGGAATGCAACCAGATCTTATTATCAATCCACATGCATTTCCTTCAAGAATGACAATTGGGATGCTTCTAGAATCTATAGCCGCCAAGGTACCACCATTCAATCACCAGTTGGGTGATTAGTTTCATTTTCTGTTTGTTGGATTCCAAGTTGGATATTATGTAACAATTTCCTTCAAAACAAGGCTTATCTATGATTATTAACTCATATAAGCTTCTGAAACCAACCTAAAAAATTGGGTTGGGTCAAGGTTGAGGGCCTGGTCAATCTGACCTAATCCGAACCTAACATATCTTCAAATTTTTGCATATATAAATATAATATAATACATGTATCCATAGGTATAATACTCTGAAGCAACATAACCTAAGATTAAGTAGTGCAAGCTTTTGTGTAATACTTGTATATGCCATTTTGCATTTTCAAGAGAAAAATAAGTTGTGTTCACTTTTTTCATGTCTGTTTCTTTAACAGCACCATATCTGACATCTAATGTAGTGCAAGCTTTTGNAGCATCCTTCTTACTCTCCCATACCACTGTCTCCATAACATCAATTTCCTGCCATAGGGATTTCAGTATAGAGTACTAGATTGCTACACTCTTCTCCCCCTGTCTCAGGTTTTTCACATCACTTTACTTATAAGCTCTGGCTACATTCAATTTTTGTGAATAGGTCTCAATAACACTGTCCCATATCTCCTTAGCCGAAGACATCCAAAGATAGTGCTGGCTTATATGAGGTTGCATAGAGTTGACCAACCATCCTATGACAGTATAGTTCTCTTGCATCCATTTTTCAAATTTAGGGTCTGTCTCTTCGGGTTTCACCTTACTACCTGTGAGATACCCGAGTTTTCCTCTACTACAGACATAGATTCTTATAGACTGTGCCCAAGCAAGATAATTTGTCCCATCTAGCTTGATTGTGGTTACACCAGTCAAAACGGAATCTACTGAGCCAAGGCCAGAAACCAGCACCTGCTTGAACTCACTTTCGTATGTCTCCATCAATCAAACGAAAATCAAAGAACTAGAAATTTTGTCTATATAAACTTATTTGAAGTCAAACCAGAACTTGGGTGCTTGAAAAACTAGGGTTTTGCTCCGTCCAGCTGTTGGGAGATGGTAACCTCGAAAATCTAAACCACCCAAACCTAAACCACCCTCCTTTAACAGTCACGAGACACCTTCCAAGCACAGAGCGCCACACCCAAGCTTCACCTTTCCTGGTAACCTCGAAAATCTCTAGTCGGCTAGGGTTTCGGGCAGCAGCAGAACAACACCGCTTCTTGGCAAAATCCAGCCAGATCTAAACTCTCCACACCTTCTACCAACTAGGCAAGTGATCCTCTTTACTATAGAGAACTTATCTCTCCATACACTCTCTTGATTTTAGAGTGTATGGGAACGAAGAAAAAGAAAGAACTAAACCTGCTCTAATACCAAGATGTAAATCAGTCCTCAAATATCAAGAACAAATTTAGGGATTAGAAGAAGTAAAGAAAAGGTCTGAACAGCTATACAAGAGAAGAAGATGGCGAAAAGTAGAGGTAAGAGGAGTCAAAAATTAATCTTCATTCTCCTCTAAGCCTATTTTATTAAGATCTAAAAAAATAGACGATGACAAGAATGCCCTTAAGTGGGCGGCCAGCTTGGCAGTTACATAAAGAGAATAAAACAAGAATAAATAACAGGCCCATTAAGTGTGGCCCATCAACAATAAAATAAAAGATATTACAAGAGAGGATGTTAGGGCCCATTCGGTCCAGTCTCTTTACACTTGGTCTCTGTTATCTTTCCAAATTTAATCTTTTTCCATGCTAATGGTTGTTTTTATGCAGACAGAAACTATTGACTTGGCAGATCAAAGCGGCAAGTCAGATGAAGATCTGAAACTGTTTGCAAGAAGTAATGTGGACAAGTCTACACATTCTTTGATTGATTCAGATGGACTTCCATATGTTGGACAGGTTTGATTCTTTTCTCTTTGGCTCTTTTTTTTTCTTTGATTTTTTTTCGTTGATCCTTGATCTCATTCTATCTGCTTTCAGAAAGTTCATCCAGATGAACCATATTGTAGCATCTACAACACAGTTACAGGTACAACAAAAGCAACCAAACTAAAGGGTTCAGAACCCGTTATTGTAGACTATGTTGCTGTTGATGTGAGAAAGCCTAAGAAGCCTATGCAGAAGGTAATTAGACTCTTGTTTTCCAATATTTTAGGTGGCGTGTTAGGCTTCAGCCTTAGGATCATCATCAGAGGAAGTAGCTAGCAGCTAGGAAACTATTCTAAGATTTCTAGGTGTGCTTTTTAATTTATTCAAATATTCAAGGTTTTAAATAGCTGTTTGGAATTCCATATACGCTAAGAGTTTTAATTCATTCATATACAATATTTTTTGAGAAAAAGGTTATATACTGCATTGAACTATCTGAAAATCAAAACATGCAAAAAGCCCTGGTTAATAAAAGCACTGTGCATGGGCCAACAACCTTACTGAAATGGTTACAGGTGTGCACAAATTCATACATCCTTTTCTCAGCATGGTTCTGCACTTCTCGTTTTGATTCATAATTTTTGCTTCAAATGTTGAGATCTTTTAARGCATAGGAGAAAAAGCAGTATAGTTTGAAATGTAGCTGTCTAATCATTGCCTAGATAGTTGCATAGGCGATGAGGCATTTTTTGGGGTTGCACTGTGCCTTGCATTGGTGTTTCCATATGGGAGATGTAATGGTTACAGGTGTGCAACCAATTCATTCAAATTGAATACAAACGTATGCATCTGAAGCGGCATCATAAAAAAACATAAAAATAAAAACTAGTTTTCGACTTAGAGAGCCATAGAATATACTTTGCTTATTATTATATTTTTGAATAAGGTAAAGTATTTACTATATTACTTATGAGTTGTTGTACAAAGAAAAGGTTGTATATTCAAAAGCTTCACAAAAAAGAGATGTATAAGATACATACTTGTAGAGAGGATTAACATTCATCCAGGCCCATAAAATGGCAAGTATCTTGCATTTCATGGTGTGCACTATGAAACTCTTGTTGATTGCAGCTGGTAAAAGAGGACCACAATAATTTGCCTCTTTAGCTTGATCATACATATGCGAACACCTAATCTCATGGGCCAGCCAGCAATGTAAATTAGGGTATTTTCCTCCAGCTGGGAACATATTACACATGCAGTGAGATTTCTCCCTAGGGGCAGTCCATACCATAAGTGAGATTTTGCAGGAAAATTTTCATTGTTGTTAGCAATGATTTAAAAGGTGTTCCCCTCAGGGGTGCCTAGGTGCACAGGCAATGCACGTTTTAAGGTATGCACCTCGCCTAACCCGCAGGAACAGCACTTTCAAAAGGTGTGCTTGGTGCGGCTAGTTGTGTGCCTTGCTCTTCAGCCTAGTGACTGGTATCTTCTCTGGTTCACTCACTTCACTTGCTCACCAAAGCTCTGAAAACCCCATATTTGCTAATGTTTCTCATTCATTCATCTTAATAAAAGTAATTTTTAAAAGACAATTAAGAATTTAATTAGCACCTTGCCTCTAGGGACTTGGTACAAAGGTGGTTTGTAGAATTAGCATAATGTTTAACATCACATTAGTTATATGAACTATGAAGTAATGGAATTGGGAAAAAGAATAAAGAGATTGAGTGCTTTACATGCTTGAATATGTTTTATAAGCTATTGCTTGATTTTATTTTTAAATTTTCATTTTAATATGTTTTACAGGTTATGTTTATGTATCTTAAATTTTCAAATAGGTTTTGTGCGTTGCTTCGAAAAGGTGTATGCCTCGTGCCTTGGGGCGCAACATGCCCCTTGTGCTTTTAAAACACTGGTTGTTATCCAAACTTTGTTCCCAAGGTAGGTTAACCTAACATACCTAGTTAGATAAAGGAAGAGGTATGCAGCTGAAAACATCTCCCTAGACCCCATTCCCAGACTCTGGAGTCTTGGCCAGAACTACAGGGCTGTTGCTTGTAGAGAACTGCGAGTGTTCCTTCATCATTAGACATTCCCAGTCATTTAGTTGCTTCAAAGCAATCAGCAACAGAAGCATGCTTATTCCCATCTCCATCAGTAGCTTATCAGAGCATCATAGACCCCTCCAAAAACTAACTGGGTCTCCATTACCAGCCCTATAACGAATTTCTTTGATGAATTTGGTGTAATTTCTGCTAATCTTCCTCCACATGTTGTGTTCCATTCTCTCCAAATGCTGTCAGCTTCCACTGAGAACCTTCACAACCACTTACATAACAGGGCTCTTTTGGTAGGTCTCAATTTCCTTATCCTTACACTTATTCTTTTGTTCCTTTTTCTTTGCGGTAATGACAAGCATTCAATTTCCTTATCCCTACACTATGAATTATTTTCTTTTCTTTGCAATAAAGACATACATTCATTCCTTCTCTCTCACATTCAAACAACAAGGGTTGTGTCCCTGTTGTGATTCTTTTGCCATGTTAGATCAATTTTGTGTCACCCGAACTTGACTCACATCCATTCTATTATCTCTTACATTCAAATAACAAGGCATTCCACTGTCACCCAAACTAGACTTGGCACCATAGTAACCATGGTTAAAAATATCCTTGTAGTTGACACTAGGGAGTCGGCCTATGTTTTTGATGCCAGCATTGGTTGCTTAGTCCAATACTGAGTTAAAGGAATTGCCTCTCTTGCACAATGATTTTRCTTGGTCTAAACTGGATGGATTCTTGTTCACTACAGATTGGGGGAACATTGGGGATATTTGGTTTCCAGAGCTTTGCCTATATTAACTTCTGATCATTGGCCTATTTCCATTGCTAAAGAAGAGATGGGTAGCTGGGGCCCAGCCCTGTTCAGGTTCGAAAACATGTGGCTCTATCACCCGTGTTTTGTTGGGAAAGTAAAATAATGGTGAAATGGAAGTAGGGGTGAGCATTTGGTTTATTTGGTTCGTGAGCAATTTGGTTTATTTGGTTAAAAACCGAAATTTTAAAAACTGAACTAAAGAAAAAATCCGAACCAAAATTTTTGGTTTGGTTTTTGGTTATTTTGGTTAAAACCGAATTTTAATAAA